TTACTTTTGCCTTGCCACTGTCGCCCTGGGCTTGCTCAGTGGGACTTGGACCCAGAATTTCTGTAAAGCTGCTTTGTAACAATGACTGTGGTAAAAAGTGCTATATAAATAACCTTTGGGTTGACTTGAGCGAAACTCAGGCAGAAAGATGACTTTGTCACAATTCCACCAAATGGCAGCAATGATTCACTTTGGTCTCCCCCATTGAACCGATCACAATGTGTTCGTAATAATGAGACTATCAACTAACATTATGAGCAGATCACACACCAGAGCCAAACTACTAACTAATAGCACATTCCTGAGCTTTGTCTTCAACACAAAGATTCTTTCAGGGGTTTGGCATAAACTAAAGTTCTAAGCTGCTTAGCGGTAAATGTGTTTACCGGACTATAGGGCAACATGGGGTTGGTTGTCACAGCTCTATTATTTGGTACACAAACAGTAGGTATGTTGGTGTCTAGAAATATTGATGATGAAATGTTAAGCTCTGAGGACTGAGCTCATGTATCCTCTTCCTTTTTGTCTAACTGCACAATGTTTAATCTGAGCTAAGTCCTTCTATTTTTTATACCAATTTGGATTGAGATGTTTTATGTTGTTAATGAGACGGTCAAGAGTGCACCTTGACATCAACTTTCAGTCAGTAAAGAGAGAGAAAGAAGTTTAAAGAAAGTCCAACGAAATTTAGTACTGAATATTTTGTTTGTCCCCTTTCCTGAAGTCTGGGGGTCTTGCTTAAAACTCAAGATGGGGAGTCATTCATAAACATTTGCCACTGGACTCAGTTTAGGGCAGTGTTTTAACTGTCATTAAACATGTAGATTTCTGTGAATTTCTCGTTATATCTTAAATCTTTTTAAATCCTTCTTAAAATCTTAAAGCCCCAAAAATGAATCAGATAAACTAATTTTGAATAAATCAAATTAACTGATAAATTACATCTGATTGTAAGCTTTACTATAATTAATAGTCTATAGGTTTTAGGGTATGATGTACAATATAGATTCAAAACCTCATATCCCATTCCACCAGTGAAATAACAACCAACTACATAGTGTTCCACCCTGAGCTTTTATTATGTCTAGGTTATGCTGATATCAAGTATTTGGTTTGTGAGATAAGAGAACCAGCATGAAACCAACCTAGTGTGTTGCTTTATTTGTCCATTTATTTTATTTTTATTTTTTATATTTTATATTTTATTTTATTTATTCATTTATTATTTTTCTTAAATATTTATTTTTACAGAAAGATGTTTCTTACCTGCCTGAATTTTCCAGCAGAGTGATTGGTAAGGATCATTTTACTTTTTAAAATGTCCTAATAGTGGGCTGACATTCAGTCAAGAAATGCATGGAACATTGTTTGGAAATATATCACCTGTAGGAATTACCACCGTTTTCATACACAGCCCCCATTTTTAGGTGCTCAAAAGTAATTGGACAACTGGCTGCTCAGGTGTTCCGTGGCCAGGTGTGTGTTATTCCCTTATTATTTTATTCACAAGTTAACAGATAAAAGATCTAGAGTTAATTTCACATATGGCATTTGCATTTGTTGCTGTTATCGCTCAATATGAAGCCCAAAGATTTTTCAGTCTAATAATGAAGCAAGCCATTATTAGACTGAAAAATCAAAACAAACACATCAGAGAGACCGAGCATTCTTAAAGAGAAAGAATGCCCCAAGACCAAAGGCCCAATGGAGCATGAAAAATAACTATGATGGATGACAGATGGAAGAATTGTTTCACTGGTGAAGAAAAACCTCTTCACACCTGTTGGCCAGATCAAGAACATCCTCCAGGAGGTAGGAGTATCTGTATCTTTACTCAACAATAAAGAGAAGATTTCACCAAAGTAAATACAGAGAGTTTACCATAAGATGTAAACCATAGTTAAGCCTCGAAAACAGGAAGACCAGAAAAAAATAACTAGAATGAATTCTGAAACATGTAGGGCTGTATTATCAGCTCAGATTCAGCCAAATGCCTCAAGCCTCACTGGAGTAGTGCAGATGGACAATGACCCAAAACATACTACAAAAGCAACCCAACACTGTTTTTTTTAGGCAAAGAAATGGAATGTTCTGCATTGGCCAGATTAATCATCTAATTTTGAGCACCTAAGCATGCAGGGATTTGTATGAAAAGGCTGTAATTCTGACCTCACCCAAAGTGGATGTAAATACTCTCAAATTGACGCTGACAGTCTGCACTTTGGGATCATGTGCACTATTTAATTTAAATTCCAATATGATGTGGTAGACAGCTAAAATAACAATAACTATGTCAATGTCCAAATATTTATAGACCTGACTATTATCGGTTTAGACCAAAATAGACTAAATTAATGTTTATTGTCATCATTCTACATGCAGTGCCCCATAATGACTCAATGAAATCATGTTTTAAAACACTGTTGCAATAACTTGAGCCAAAAGTCAATTCTATGGCTGCCGTTGCTGCTGAAAGCTGAGCCTTGCACCAAGCCTGCAGTGTCCATCATTCTCTTTTACACATCTTGGTGGTTCCAGTGTCTTCATTTTCCTTATGTTTTCAGACCTAAAAATTTTGATTGCAACATATTCAAGGTTGAATTTGGTAGCGCTTTATTGTATGGTATGGTAAGTACCTAGAGTTTAATAGGTAAATATATAGTACTTACAAGTAATGTTGTAGTACATACTTCACTTGTAAATAGTAACTTGTTTGAAAGCTAACAAGTACATCAAATTAAATTCTTAATTCTTAAGTTCTGCTCTAGAAGATCTACTATGTATGTGCAAACAATGTACCAAAAAAGTACTTGTAAGTACTACAGATTTGTCTGTTAAATTCTAAGTATTGCTGTACATACCTGGTGGATTTTATGTAGGTTACTACGTACATGCAAAGTACATATCAAAGCATTACTTGTAAGTACTACATATTTACCTATTAATATTAATATATTCATGGAGCATTCTTTATACCGATGGCAGCTCAGAGTGCTTTACAAACAGGTGATAAAGCTTAACAGTAAGAGAAGAAACTATGAGTGTTAATTTAAAATCAGACAGTGACACAGATCAAATTAAAAAGATAAATACCAAAGACATCGAATGAAATTAAATGCTAAGTTAAAGAGACATGTTTTTAGATGCTTCTTAAAAGGGAGCACTGAGCTTGACTGTCTAACAAAAGGTGGAATTGAGTTCCATAGTTTAGAAGCATAATAAGTAAAAGAGGCCTCTCAACATTTTCTGTATTTTTACAGAAGATATTTGCAGAAGGCCAGTATCTGAAGATCACATGTTGGAACTTACTTTACAGGTGCTTTAAGATCATTTAGAGTCTTAAAAACTAGTAGCAGAACTCTGCTGAAAATAAATAAACTGCTTCCAAGTATGTACCAAGTATTACATGTAAGTACATCTAAATGTAGGCTTATAATTAAATTGTAAGTTTGTGAAAATTACTTGTAATTACTTTTACTAAAGTATGTCAAATTACTTGTAATTACTACATATTTATCTATTACCTACTGTAAGTGGGAAGGAAGTAGTATCTAAACACCTTTTTAAATGTTGATCTAAAGTTTTCACTTTGCAGGTGAGTTTAAATGAAATAACAGTCTGACTTTCATTAATATACAATTCTTACACTGACAAACAATACAACAGTCAAGATTGAAATCCATACATATTACATATAAATATTATGTTGAGAGAGACAGAGAGACATGAGACATTAATATGTGCTTAAATACTATTAACATATGTGTATGTAAGTAGAAGGAGAGAGAGAGTCTCTATTGAAGTAGTAAGGTAGCAGTCAGGACCAGGAGTAAAAGGCTGAGGTCCAGTCTGATCCAGGCTTCACTCCTATTAGATAATTTGGGTGAAGTGCAAGTGAAAGTTGCCACTTTGGCAGCTTCACAAACACTTTTGGAGACGCATCCCATCACAGGCTTGTTTATCGCTTGGCCAAAAATTTGCATATTTGGAACTGAGAAGTAAAAAAAAAGCATCAAACATTACATTATATTCACCATTATTTTCTATACAGTCAAGCAGGAAAGTTGCACAAAAGTAGAAAATGTCAAGTTTTCATGGCCAAATTTGTTTGATCAGTATGTTCTGTGTATGTTACTGCAGCTATTGAACTATTATAAAACTTACAGGTGCCGTTTGCACATCTATCTTGGTTTCCCACACAGGACACAGTAGAGTTGCATGTTGGGTCTGCTACACTATTGCAGGTTGGACATTGCAGTCCATTTGGGGTGTTGTCGAGTTCTGTGAAACAGAACAGAAGCAGTGCTGTAGTTGTAGGCAAAAAATCATAATAGCTAGATCACTCACACTATGTCCTCTGAACTAGCCACTCTGAACACTTTTTGAAAAAAAAAAGAAAAAAGAATAAACTTCAGTGAAAGCATATAGTTGAACTGTTGAAACCATGGAGAACCATGTAGTAATTGGCTTGATTTAAATGATGTCTTACATACTATGTTTATATTATTTTCCCTTTATTTCCACATGTATTATAAAAGGGAAACAAGTCAGGGTGTCTTTTAAACCTAGTCCACTCTCCACTTTTTACATGTGCTCTAAACTCAGTTGTTCTCTGTTCTATTCCTGGGGTACTGTGTTCACTGAATAGTTTAGGGATTCCAGTGCTTTTTCATTGTTCTATTTTGGGGCAATTCTGATTCCTAAGATCTTGTTTCAAGTATTAAAAGAACAGAAACTTTTGACTCAGTAGTGTAGCAAGTCATCCCTGGGCCTGTATGCAAATCTTTTGACCCGGCCCTCTTATTACAACAAACCAATCGCAAGACCAAAGTCAAAGCCAAAGTCATTTAGATATAATAAAAGAAAATATAATCAATGTATAAACAGTGTGTGTGAATGTGTGCCTTTCTCTTGTATATCAGTGGAGGTTTCCATTTTTATGTGGCCCATATGAAGCAAGTAGACAACTCTCACATCCTACTCAACCTCACTGTGCAACATTTTTCTAAGAACATTTTTGAAATCAAATTACTGCATTGATTTCAGCCAAGTAAACGGCTGCTTCTACAATGCATTCATAAGTCAAGTCAAGGTTATGATCCCACAGGTGATTTAGTAAGACTGGGTTAAAGCCAGTTTAGGGCCCAAAGACGGATGCCACTCCAAAGTTAGCTGAATAAGTTATGCCTGAAGCAGTTGCACTTAGCAGAGAACACAGGTCATTTATCATTCATTCCATCATTATACCCAAATCACCCCTGCAGGACACAGGCTTGTAACGTATAAGGACAATCCTAAAAAAGATAGAGCAAACTGTGAATGAAATGACTCTTTGATGTCTTTGGTTAAGGCAGTGGTCTCCAACCCCAGTCCTGGAGAGCTACCATCCTGCAGAGTTTAGTTCCAATCTGTATCCAATTAGCTGCCCAATCCCTTACTGAACTTTAATACATCTGATCCAGCCAATCAGGGACTTGGAAAGAGGTTGATTAGCAGAACCAGGGTTGGAAATCACTTTTACTTTTCTCTTGGCATATCTTCTAAATACATGTAACTTCAAATTCAAAACATTTTTTTTTGGGAATATTCCCTTGTGAACTGCTAAAGACTTGAACTGTTCAGTTTTCATAATAAGTTATCTACAAAAAGCAGCTGATTTGATAAAAATTCCTTCCCCCCCCCCAAGATACAGGCCCAAATGCCAGTGCATACACTGCACACCCAGACACTTACTAGTAGTAGTAACACTTACATGGTATTCAACAGACATAAAAATGAATGAATTCCTTCACTAATTCATTGGAGCATGGGAGGGCAACTACTGTCAGTTGTTTTAAAATTGCAGTTACATGGTAGTTATAGTAAATAAGTAAACATAAATATAGTAAATAATCCTAATTGCTTCATTTCATTACAAACTTGTGTTACAAGATACAAACTGCTATTCTTTCAAAGCCTTACAGGCTCCTCAACTCAAAGTTAAGCTTTAAGTTTAGAAGCACTATGCTTCAAAGTATTTATTAAAGGATTCACTGAAGAAACTGCAAAATACCAAGTAAAAATATCATTGCATCAATGCAGAAGAAGACGCTGACAACATTGCATGTACTGGCAAATGCTCTTTAAAACTGGCACTTCAGCTAGCATGGGAGGGCATGAAACATGAGAAGGGTTGACACCTCTAACACATTGTGAACACACCCTCCTTGGTCTCAATTGCACTAATAACTGCAAACCAAACCTAAATTACTGAATATTCTCTGTTTTATTTTATGTTTGCCCCAATCGTGCTAAGGAAGCTAGCATACTGTTAGATAGCTAGCCAGCAAGATAGCTTTACTACTAGTTAAGTTTAAACTTGTTGCATCCACCCTGGTTGACAGATATTAATGCAGCTCAGCTAGCTCTTTCAACATTTAAAGAATGGAAAACTGAAAAGCAAAATTAAATTGCAGCCAAGATGACGGCCTTTCACTACTTCAGAAAAGGACTTTTGGCTCCTTGTTTTACCAAAAAGCTGACAATACTGAATATGTTTGATGTATGTTATGATAATATGATGTTGTACTTTTATATACACACTGAAAAAGTAATTATTTCCAATATTTACATGCTTCCCCAAAAACATCATATATTTAACATGCCTTAAAATCAAAGCAATAAAAGCAGTCCTTCTTACCAGGGATGTTTTTGTTATTGCAAAGATCGGTATCACAGCAGGAGAGGAAACCAAAGACGGATGCCACTCCAAAGTTAGCTGAGTAAGTTATGCCTGAAGCCGTTGGACTTAGCAGAGAACACAGGTCTTGTTCAAGGCATATTCGTGCAACAGCAGCAGAACTCACACCAAACTCTTTAAGCAGAAATTAAAATATGGTGTCCATATGTTACCATAACGTTACACTTTCTCTCTGTGTGTATTTAGTTGCAGTCTGGTGACATGCAATAAAAACTAAGTGATATTTAATTAACATTAAAAAAACAGTCCCATGCTTACCTGATGCAACAACACTATATCTCAGAGAAGAACACACTAAGCCTGGTTCACACTCAGTTAAAGTTGCAGTGCTACACTGACCTTCATAACTCGCACACATAAGGCACTTTGGGAGCATGCTGTGCACTGGGAAAAGAGCAAATCCATCACTAAGACAATGTGTGAATATTACAACCAACATTTTTCTAAACATTTCTAAGCTTGTGTCCCAACATTTTTTATTTTACTTTTCGGAGCCCAAACCTGGCAAACTTAACATGATTTCTATGATCAATACATCAAAACAAACCTATATGATTGTGAGACAGTAAATATATAACAAAACATTTTAAATGAACCACAACAGCAACAACAAAGAGTTCTCATTTTACCTGAGCAGAAGAGAGAAGAGAGATACAGAATCAAGAGGAGCTTCATCTTGAAGCACAAATGATGATTAACCTCTCTCTCCTACGGCTCTATGGATATGACACGCCTTCTCGGTCTAATGTGTTACTCCTTAGAAGAGGGCTGAGACTCATTTAGTGCTCAGTACTGAAGGTATTTCCTTGTCATGTTGAATGAATGTTCTACTGAGTGATCTGTTGTGTGTGGGTTTTGTCGTTGCTTGATAAACCAGCTAAAAACATCCTAGGACTTTTAACATGGTTACAGTGAACCAACAAATAAATTCCAATGCTCATAGGAATGTATAATATTTTAAAGTCATATGACTAATAAAATAGATGCTGTTATATTTTAATTGTAAATATGCACAGCCATTCTGTCATCTGTTTTTCCTTGAGTTGTGTAATAGTGTCCAAAAAAGTACTTTTTGATCTAATTAGGTTTACAAGTTGAAGTGCAGTGATGTTACTGTTAACACAGCACATCTGCTATTTTAGTCTCATCCAAATCCATCATGTTAGGAACGTTTTTAATAGACTATGTGCTTGCCTACTGTAAAATGAACTGCAAAAGTAACTCTAGGTTACAGCAATATTGTGTGCACGGACTTTCAAGAAACATTCCATCATAGCATGGGAGGTGTGTGGGGTTTTTTGTAGGGCCCATATCCTACATTTTTCTTGCATTGTATTTTTCCCCTGAGGTCTACTTCTACAGTTAGGGTGGTTCTATGTACCAAAAACAACTGTAATTCATTTTACATAAGTATTTTCCAACCTCTTTTTGTACCTTTGAGTTAAACAGGCTGTTTCTAAATCTCTGAGAGTGTTGGCTGATATCACTTGGGGGCAGGATACCAATGGTATGGTCAGAAATATTGCTTTGTGAGGCCTAGGCAGCAGATACAGAAATATGACTGATCCTGTTTGGGTTGCTGGACCAGTTTGGACAGGACTGCAGTGCTTAGAATAGCAGGGTAAAGTTGACAGTATAATATTAGGTGTCCTGGACTTCAAAGTGGTGCTCATATTTGCATGGCCTCAAGGACTCTATTTTGTTGTTATTTGTTTAAAGACCAATATGGACAAGAGAGAAAACAAAAAAACATTAAGAATTCTGAAGAATATGTGAACAGCTGGTATTACTGGAAAGTACTGGCCCACATAATATTGCAGCAAGAGAGATATGGATAAATCAGTGTGTAATACAAGTGAAGTAATATTTTGTGTGACAGAAGTAATTTGACTCTCCTGATAACACTTTTTTACTATTTTGTTTAAGGCAGGATAGTGTGCTCCTTTCAGCACATTTTGTCATCAATGAGTATACCAAGAGGATTAGTACAGAGTACCCAAGTAAATGTGTGGTTGGACATATCAATGCCTTTTTATTTTTAGGGATGAAAAGCATGTCTTAATAATTTTTTATATTGAGGGATAGTTTGTTAGTTTTGAACCAGTGATCAGTATTGGTTAAAGTACAAGTATTTAAGATTATTTTATGACTGTTTTTACAGTAGTGTAATCACTAAACAAGTTAAAAAACACATTCTTTGCTGCCAATATATTTAAAACAATAAGGGTCCCGATACTGACCCTTGAGGTATCCCACATTCTATTTTACTGAGATTGGAACAAGAGCCCTGCATTGTTACACTCTGATTTCTATTTGATAGCTTGCTTTTGAACAATTTTGGTAGTAACGAAGTATCAGGTATTTTGTCCACTATGAAAGGTCCAACGTAAACAAAAGAATTGATGAATTAATTTACAATTTCACTTTGATAAGTGATGATTGTATTGTGTATATGAGATTTAAATGTCTTAGTATTTGTCAACTTGGTTTATGAATTCGTTGACAATTTGCCACATGCTCTTCATGTTGTTATGATCTCTTTGTAATTTCTTACAGTAATATTGTTGTTTTGCTTTTCTACGGTGCTGTAGTTAGCTTATTTCAGAGTGTAGCATATTTTCTTCACATTATTGGGGTGAGATTTGTTAAGTAATCTCTGTGTTTCTTTCTGATTGCTCTCTTGTGAGTTAGCCAGGACTTGAAAGGTTTGTCGAGATGCATCTTCATATTCATGCGTCATTCATGGTGTGAAAAAAAAAAAACAAAAAAGAAAGTGTGTATTAAACAAAATATGAACAAGGTTCTGTTTTCAGATACAAACTTTGTTTGGCGTTGAATTAGTTAGAATGAAACCACTGGGTTGAAATAGAGTCTATATGTGAGTTAGACATTCTTGATGGGTATGATCATAGTTTATATATAAAAAAAGGAAAGAGAAACAAAAACAACCTCTTGTAATTACAAAAAAAATAAACATGAGTTTCTCACGCACACATTTTGAAACCACACACAAGTGACAAATCACTGCTGTCATAAAAAATTTCATGCATGTTAAGGTAATGCAATATTATACTATGTACTTTGGACCATTTATATTGATGTATTCGTTATAAAATGTGCAGACAATGTAAAAGGCAAATGGAGCTGGAGATTTTGTTAGATTTATATGCTAAATTCATAGATATTAACTGAATGCTTCATTCATGAATGTAGCATCATGTAAACAATCCATGCTAATTTGCCTTCCTAATGTATATAGCATCACTGATTCTGAATATTCCTGTGATTGTTTGTTTGACTAAAAACTAGTAGTCAAGTAGTTTCATGAAGGTAGAAGGCAGAAGTTCAGAGAATTCATACTGATCTGCACCACCCGTCTGTGTTCTGGATGCCTTTATCATTGCACTTAATTGCTTTTTCTGGGTGTGTTCCTACCCAAAAAATTTCTGTCAAGGAACCTTCGTCATCGCCTTTAGTCAATTCTTGCTTCCTCTCCCAGAACAAGGTTACACGTGCTTGCACGTGTGTAACCTTTAAAGTGCCTAGAAGGATACACACTCATAGCCAGCCAAAAAATGCTGCTGCTGAGCTGATCATTCCTATGAGAAATTGTACTTGTACCAGAGTATTTTATCTCACCCATTTAAAAGAGAAAGTGTGGAGTCAAAAATATACTTACATAAAAGTCAGAAAAGTTTCTTTAAAAAAAATAAATAAACATATTTCAGTTTTGCACTGATATGAATTTGCTTTTCATAAAATATTAATTGTTTTAATAAAAACAATAAATTCAAATGCTGGGGATGTCAACTGACTGGCAAAAGAAAGAGAGAACAATCTTCCAGCCTTTAAAATTTGTAGCTGTAAAATGAACATGCTAGAAGCAAAATCTGTAATTATAAGTCTTAGTATAAATCTAATACTTAAGTATTTTCCACCTCTGCACTTGACTGTGCTTCAACACTTTAAAGGCCACATATCATGTTTCATTTGCTTGTTTGGAAATAAAGGAGTTTAACGTAATATATAAACATTGTTCAAACATGTAAATATGAAGTAATATGTAGCTATTCGCTATCAAGTCAATACAATCCAAAAAACCTGCCTTTTTTCAATTGTATTCACATTGTATTCAGCTCATTTACATATATCCACATATATTTACAATTATCTCCACCCATTCATATTGAAGTTATAAGAAGTGTTACAAACCACACTGCTTTTTGAATGAGGTGCAATACAGGATAAGCAATCAGAACAGAGGTCAGTTGCATACATCATTCTCAAAGGCACTTCTTGTTTGTTATAGAAGAATTTTGAAAGGTTGGAAAATGGTAATGTAAAAATGAAATAATGCCCATTTTGGGTATATAAAACCACACAAATGTTATAAGTTGACCTTATATGTGCTGGATATAGGCCCTTTAAAAACCTGTACACATTACACAGAGAATAATTGCCACAGTCTAAAAAATAGATTTTAAGTTCCTTAATTTGTTTTCTTATACCCTGGATTCAAATCATAGCAACAAGACAAGAATCAGTGTTATGACCCCACTTCGTGTCTGGGGTGTTATTTGATCAAAACATTTGGCATTAAGCTGCTGAACTGTTAAAGGAAGAAAGGAACAAACGAGCTTTTGAAGTAATTTTATTAAATTAGCTATAACTATAAAACTATCTGCTTAAACATTCAACAAAGTATGACACTATTTACAAAAGTATATCTTTACACAAAAGCTGTCAGGAGAAACTGTGGACAACGCCAAAGAAACAAACAAAACAGCCATACTTCCCTACTCAGAGTCAAATGTACTTAATCAAAATTACATGGGGTGCAGAGGTGAAGCCATTACCCCTGTAATCTGATTGGCAACCCTAGGTGCCACCTTAAAACTTTCTTTCACATAAGAGAAAGCCCTGTCCTGATGAAATGTCAGAAAAGACTTACATATTAGATATTATTGGTATCAAATTAACTTTTTGTGTCTATTTCTTTTCTAAAGCAGATTGTAACACACAGTTTACTTAAAATAGGAGAGAATTTATTAACTTTGGGCTGTGGGGCTAAATTGCACCCTTTAATAGGTGCAATGATGCCACAGTGAATGATTTGACTTTCAGTTTGTTTTCTTCGCAAGTCATAACTCAAAGCATCCAGCTGTTCTTTGTTTTTGTGTTCTTGAATATTGGAATGCAACTTGGGCAGTGGAAGACAACGTGAGCCAGAGGCTGTTTTTCAATTATGGGCTGCTCCTTAATATGCATTCTTGCCTGTGTTCTTCTTTGACGTCTTCTTCCACTGCATAAGATGCATTCCAAAAGTACCCAGAAGTTTTCTTAATCTGATCCAAATACCAAAGATGCATTGGTTTATTCAAAAGAATATCTTGTGTGTCTTATTTTAAATCTGCTTTAGAAAACACTTTAGGTGAGAAATAGACACTAAAGTTGTGAAATGTAGTGATGCTCATACTGAATCATCCAAACCATTCGAGCAAAATGAATCAATTGCTTCTATCTGATTTGAAGTGTCGAAATTAGTATTATTAGTCTGTGTGATCTGAAATCACACAGACTAATAGTATCAGAAATATACAGATATGGTATTAAAGCTCAGTTGAAAGCAAAACACATTCAGTTTCTCTCCTGGACATTAAATAATTATGTCTGTGCATAAAATAGAACATGCCATAAATTTGTTGT